GTTTACGACACCAACTCTCTGCCATCTATAATCCAGTTTTGAGTTCCCTTCCCAGACGCCTTAACGCCCACTCACATCCTGGGCCATCTGACCTCAGGAATTCGCATGATAAGGTGGGGCCAGGTTTCACAATGAGCACACCCGAAACTCTGGCTGATTGGGACCCACACCCAGTTTAACACCTTGGCTCAGGCGATTAGAGGATCATCAAGGGGTCCTTTTGTCCCTCTGTGGGGGGTCACTCCCACTAGGTTTATATCTGGGACTCTCCACCATTTGACCTTAGAACTGAAGAAGCTTCTCGGATGAGAGGTGAAACGTCTTCAAGTAACTTAAAGAAGTCCAGACGCTTTTCTTTGCAAGCTCCTTTGAGTACAAACCTTTAGACTCTCGGCCTATGCAAGCGTCTCATCCCAGAGGTATTAGGTAGCACTGCGTGTCCATCACATATATAATGTTGTAACACTGAGACAACAATGAGTTCATCTCATCGAGTGTCAGTTTTTATGCTAGCTACTACCTGGCTGTCACTCCTCCTCTTCAGGGTGCTCGCTCTGCTGTCGCTTCTTGTCACACGTCTGGAGGAGCTGTCAGTCTGATGAGAAGACGAAAACACATCTCAGGCGGAGTCTGAGCATCACCATCATCATCATCACCTCATCATCATGAGCCACAACAACAAAACAACGAACAGCTAACAGCGCTAACGCCGAGGAAGTGAAGTGAAGCGACGGGCCTGACGACTGCTCCGTTTACCCTAGCCGTCTGTTTATTTTAAGTGTTGAACAAATTAAAAACACCAAACTTATTCGGTTATTTAAAACAGCTGTGACGTTTGACACTAACGTTAACGACGCCGTGATTTTTGTCCTCTCACCTCTTTAATAATACTGCGCAGAGACTCGTCCTCGCTCATTCCCCGAGAAAACGAGCGCTTCTTCGGTGAACCACTGCTGTCCAGCGTGACCGAGTGCATGTTGTACGCGTTATATTACGTTTTTCTTTATATAAGAGACACCTCCGGGCTCTCTGGCTGAAGTGGTGTTTTTTACTTGTTTCCTACGCAGCTACAGGGAGCTACACCCAGGCCCTGATCTACGGAAAGCCGCAGGGACCAAACCGTGTTTAACGCCGCCCTCGCTCCGCCCACTCTCTCTGAACAGTCAAATATCCGTCTTTTTAGGGAGACATGGGTCACGTTTGTGGCTGTGGGGGGGGTTCAAATATGACTTTTGGTTTGTTGTAAAGTTAAGGGATAGCATTCTGGTGCATGGCTGGAATTAATCAGTGAAAAAAGCCTGCCGTTTTTTTTAGTAAAGTTATAGGTACTTTTACAAACGTGACCAGAACAATGAAAAGTGAGGTTTAACAGGACTTTTCCTGTGAGAAAATAAGAAATCCCTTTATTCAGTAGCTTATAGAGCAACTTTTGGAAGCAGTGACTTGAAGTAATATTTTTTTGTATGATTTTATCAGTCTCACATCATTGTGGACGACTTTATGACCCATTCTTCTTTACAGCGTTGCTTCAGTTCATTTCATTTATCTTAATGTCTCTTAAGATCTCACCAAAGCCATTTACTGCTTTTGTGCTTGGGATTATTGTCCAGTTGCATTACCCACATTGGGCCAGCTTTTTAGCTGTTAGACATGTGGCCTCACAATTGAGTATACTTTGGTATAAAGAATAGTTAATGACTGCAAATATCTTTTAGCTGCAAAACAAGCCAAACTCATTACCCTTCCACCACAATGCTTGACAGCTGGTATGAGGTGTTTGTGCAAATATGCTGTGTTTGGCTTTCTGCAAATGTGATGCTGTGAATTATGGTCAAAAACCTACACTTTGGTCTTGTCTATCCAAAGGACATTGTTTCAGAAGTCTTGAGGTTTGTTCAGATGCAACTTTGCAAACATAAACTGTGTTGCCATGTTCATTTATGAGAGAAGACGCTTTCTTATTCTTATTATTTTCTTATTTAATTACGAATTGAAAATGATGAACTTGGTCAATCATAAGTCATTTGGCTCAGAATAGTAAGAATTTCTACCACTTACAGACTCTGAAAACCACATACTTTTATTCCAATAAACTGGAACCAATCTGAGAACACAGACAGCAATGCTTCTTTACAGAGATAAGCCAACTCCCGCACTACTCAACCTTGACAGCAACTTTTATTGATTAAGCTGTCAATTTAACCTTTTCTTTGTCTTTTCACTCTACTTGCATATAGTGATTTTTGCCTTGTCATGGTGTGAAAACACAGGTTTCTGACAAAGTTAACCTCCACAAGACCTGGATGTTGCAACTGAAGTGTTTGTACAACTTTACAAACCAAACTATTTGACAGCTGAAGAACTTAAGATGGCAGTCAATACATGACAAAGCAAAGTTTTTTTGTTTTGTCTTATTGTTGTTGTTGTTGTTTAACACGTGTTACTTATCATTTAAACAAAGGGTGAAAGAGGAAGTGGAGAAAAAGTGAACAACTGCAACAGGAAATGAGGAAACAGTTCAAACCCCCTAAATATAAAATGATATTTACACAGTGTATGACTCAAAAGCTGTATTTATTTATTTAGGACAGTGCATGTTAATCAACATAAATGTAAAAAAAAAATTACATGAATGTAAACATACCAGATTATAGCCAAAGGCTAATTTCCATCTGTTGTCCTTAAGCATAAAAATAGACATAATTCATAAAAATTCATCATTCATTCATAATAAAAACTCCATCACCAAACTTACACATACACACCATTCTGTTCCCAAATAAAACATTAAAACTATACAACTTATACATGATCACACACTGTTATTCATCCCAGAGATGTGTGTTTATTGCACACAGATGATCATGACATAGTCTCATATCTTGATACAGGGTTTCTATAATTGTAGGCAAATGTAGTAATATATCAGCCTACGCACTGGTTAAATAGAAATGTTCATACAACTTCCTTCACCTTTAAGGTGATTGACTCAATACAAAATCTGCACATTGCTCTCGTGCAGCGGACCAGACCCTCAGTTTGGAGCAAAAACTCCAAACCAGGTTTAAATTTTTCCTTGAGCTTTCCTCTGAACTGTAGTTTGTCACTGCGTAGCAACAGTGAGGACTGCTTACTGTAGACTCAGTGCTGTGACACTTTGTTGAATCAATGACTGCCTCATTAATGACTGTTTATTCTGGTGTGCGTGAGACATAACTGTTATTCAAAAAAAGGCTGGCCCTTTTTTTTTACACCCATCAATGCAAAGACCATGAAGTTTACTGAAACCGGATCTATTTCACTGTGTATATATCATGTAGAAACCTCATTGATCATTTTACATGACGTTTTACAAAGCCTTTCTGAGCTTCAGTGTTTGTATGTGGGTTTAGTATGTTAAGGCTCGGAGTAGATGTTAGATCAGCAAATCTGATCATGCAAATGATTCACACTTTATCTGCATACGTGAACAGAAAAACATGCAAACGTGCAGAGGACGGATGAGTGGCAACTGCAGTAGAATGAACATGAGTGTCTCATCACTTCAGGACTCATTTGTTTTTGTCTTTTGATCCAGTTTGCTAATGATTTATCTTAACGGAGCAAAAATTATTTTTCTGAAAGGAAGAGAATAACTAAAAGAGTTGAGCACATACCACCAGACATATTACCAATGCTTTCATGTCTGATGTCTCCTAGCCTGTTGTAAAAGGACGCTTTGATACTTTGGTACTGTAAAAATATGTGAGATGACCAAGTAATGCATTCATTGCAATGAATTTCATTCGTTGTATTGGAGGTGCAATGGAGAATCCTCAGTTCTTTAGTAATGGATGAAATGTACCTAACCAATAGAGTTCCTGCTTTAGAGTGCAGCTCCTGAAGGTGAATTTTACAAAACACAGCCTCCAATGAACAGAGAGGCTCGCAGCTTTGAGACGAGACCTGCAGTCGCAACTATGTTTTTCTCCAGCAGATGTCGGTGTGGTCGCACAGGCTGCTCATCGCTCAAAGAGGTGGTGCTGCAAAACTTTTAGCCTATTTTGGAAGAATAAAAATTTAACTTACCCCCCCTCCAATGATATACATATGAAAATATGTATATGAGCGTGGTTCTTGGGCACCATTTAGATAACATTCTCACATGTTTATATATCGTTGGATGATGTTTCAGGAAAGACTGAAATTCCACAGCTCACTATAATTGCATGCGTCACTTGCTCATTAGTTCATATACTGATTGGTACAAATGGCATTCACACGGGTCTGTGTATACTAATGAGTCCATCTACGTTATAATTGAGAGCTTACAGACGTGCTGCTGCTTAATGGCTCAAAAGTCTCCGAGGTGTAGGGTTATTAAACATAATCTATCAAAATCATGATCAGCCTTTATGAATGCACCCTTGTACATGTGGAGCTATTATTTTTCAAGGAAAACGTGAGTGTGTCCTTTCTTATTGGTTTCAATGAAAACTTTCACTTTCATTTTGAAGAGCCTTACAAGAATATATCTAAATAATCTGCATAATACCATCTGGTCTAGTTACATGATAAATTCTTATCTTCGAGTTACCAGTTTAATTACACCATAAATGCTATGTGCACGCTTCAAGATTGGCTGTGGTAAATTTGCGAGAAATCCATTTAGCTTTTTTCTTTTTGATTTTTCTTTTTAAATTGGCACCATTGAACATTTAACCTATTTAAAAAAAAAACAAAAAAAAAACATGCGTAGTGAGCAGTTTGCCATCATCCTAATAACCTAATTGGGCTATAGGTTATCTCTAATGGGAGACATTGTTTGTGCACTGTAAAAACATTTATACTCTCTTAACGGTGCGCACACCCTCCCTTCCTCTGTCCCTCTTGACTTGGTGACAGACCTAAAAGCCTTTTGTTGCAATCTTAGCCAATGGAGGCGGATTACGACATCGGGCAGCTGAGATATATAAAGAGCGCCTTTTTGACCGTACTTGCACATTTTTCAGTGACACCTCTGCACATACTCACACCTCCGTGGACTAAAATTGTACAGAAAACAACAATTAGCTTATACTGCACGTGAGCAGGCTATGCATTCACCAGGCATTTAACTTTCAATCAAAGGAGCTTGTACCGACACCCTCTGCGCGCACTTTTTTTGTTAAAAGAAAAAAAAGAAAAAGAAAGAATATTACAAAAAGAGAAACTTCGGGGTGATCGTATTGGATTAGATGCATGTCACTTATTCTTTGCCGTTTGTAGGCTAAGACGAGGAGCGGCGCAGATTCGAGAGACGGGATCTAACGGAATAAAGTGCGTAAAAAACAAGCTAAGGAAGGGGAGGAAAAGTTGCGTTTTCTGTTGTCCACGCATCGTCATGCCGAGGTACAACTTCTTACTGTGCTTGATGGTGCTCATCTCCTTGGGACAGTCGGGGAGCGATGAGCCCAATCTGCTGCTGCCTCCTGCCAGCGAGACGCCCACGGATGCCGGGCTATCTCTGCTGGACGAGGACGCCGGTTCTCACGAGTGTTCCGCTTGTGTTTGGAGGGAGCAGAGCAAAGTGCTGAGACTGGAGACCATCAAGTCCCAGATCCTGAGCAAACTGCGTCTGAAGCAGGCGCCCAACATCAGCCGGGAGGTGGTCAATCAGCTGCTGCCCAAGGCGCCCCCGCTCCAGCAGCTTCTGGACCATCACGACTTCCAGGGAGATGCTTCGTCCCAGGATGAGTTTATGGAGGAGGATGAGTACCACGCCACCACGGAGTCCGTGATTACTATGGCCTCTGAGCGTGAGTAATAGTTTACAACCTAACAATGATATTGTCTCCAAATGCGTCATGCGCGTAATTGCGGAGCAGTATAGGTTCAAGTGGCTCAGGCCTGCTGCGGGGACAGTCGGTGACCTAACCTACTCTTAGTGATTGAGATTAAAGGAAACTAACTGGTAAAATTAGACAGCTGTCAAAAAGAGGGGATAATGTGTGAAACTGATAAATCAATAACTGGTAGCACAAAGAACCTCATCACTCTGAACGGACAGCGCCAATATGGCTTGATTGACTTTTGTCTTCTTGACGATGATGATGATGATGAAGATGATGATGAAGCAGAGTGTTTAATATTTAGCTGCTGGACTCCTAGCTGTCACGTTTAAACTCTCCATTTCTCCCATAACGTTTTAAGAACACGAGGCATGGCAGAGCCGTTTGAATGTCAAGTGCATTATTAATGATAATGCAGCATTTGGCTGGCAGTTGCATCACTTTATCCTTTAATGTCTTCCTTTGCATAAAGACCTTAAATTCTGGAGTTATCACATCTCGAGGCCCTCTGATTATTGTCCTCTAACAATTTGCTCGCCCTCCCATTGTTTCCCATAAATCCACAGATAAACCACAGGCAGGCCCCCTCTGAGACATTTTATAAAATTACTTTTGAACCCTGGCAGCTGTGCTCTATCGCTCTTTTATAGGAGGCTCTACCGGTTCCCCTGCTGTTCATCGCAGTGAGAAAAAGTGTGTCCAAAAAGCTGCTATTGTTCGCCTCATGCAGCGGCCCCCCTCGGCCGCACTTGCCTTTTAAATGCGAAGTTTATAGGCGCAGCTCGTTTTTTTTTTTTTCACCAAGAGTACACAAAGACAGAGAATCACTTAGGGTCGAGGGGAGTGTGTGACCTTTTCCTGGTGAAGCGCCGGGTTCAACAACATTTACACACGTAATATATTCTGCACAAGGCGGATGAAACACTCTGCAAATAATCCTTTTTTTTCACTCCCTGGTTGAACAAAGACCTATATATATGTGTGTGTGTGTGTGTGTGTGTGTGTGTGTGTGTGTGTGTGTGTGTGTGTGTGTGTGT